ATCTCTTATGAGTCTGTCTCCGTAACTGCTGCCTCCATTTCACTGCCCTCCGTTGCCTGGCATCAGGGACAAACTCCCTTTGATCTTCCCCACTGATTCATGCCTCAGGTGCCTCCTGGTGGCTAACCAGCCTCTCTGGTCCCTGCTCTGAATCAGAACCCTGCCCAGGGTCCTCCACATCTTCCATAGCAGACTCATAGGGTTCCTCACTATCGGAGTCCATCGGCAGCTCAACGGCTCCTGCTGGGCCACAACACATGGCTATTCAATTGAAATGTAACAAAACAGAATTTATTGTATGTAACAGAATAATGGAAGGAAACTTGGAGGTCTTCTAGTGCAAACTCCTGCAAGAGACCCTATACCCGTGATGGCAAACCTCTGGCATGTGTACCAGAGGTAGCATGCAGAGCTCTCTCTATGGGCGCACACGCTGTCGCCCCAGCTGAAACAGCTGGTCATTGGGTTTCCGGTGCTCTGATGTGCATGCATGTACGCACCTTTTGGTTTGGGCACTAAAAGGTTCACCATCACTGCCCTACACCATTTTTGACAAATGATTGCCCAGTCCCTTCTTAAAAGCCTTCAGTGTTGGAGCAGCCACAACTTCTGAAGGCAAGTTATTCTACTGATCGATTGTTCTTACTGTTGGAAAGTTTCTCCTTTGTTCTAGGTTGCTTCTCTCTTTGTTCAGCTTTTATCCATTGCTTTTTGTCTTGCCTTCTGGACCGTTGGAAAATAGGTTGACGCCAATGGTGGGTTGCAGGCGATACGCCCCGGTATGGGCATACCGGTGCCTGCCAAGAGCACCGGGTACCATTCCTGTCCGGTGCTCCAGAGGGCTCATCCACCCACCCACCATCCCTACCTCTATTTGAGCTCTTCAGCACGCACGCATACAGAGCATATGGCGCCTGCGTGATGCTCAGCTAAGCAGCTGGAGCATCACGGAGCATTGCAGGAGGTAAAGATGCATGTGTGTGCTGTGCGCATTTGCGCACGTGCTGTGCGCATTCAGGTGGTGTACGCCGGGCCCTGTTGCACCGTACTGGTTGCACCAGGATCCGGAACCCAC